GGTGTGGGTCCTAGGCAGTGTTCCCGCTAACATTTTCTATCCTTGGGAGGGCTGAATTTTATTTTGGGCAGGTTGAAATTTCTTATGTGCAACACCAATATTGAGGTAGTGTGTCGATGTGCATCACCAATGCAAACAAAACACACACACATATATTAAGCAGTCCATCTGTGTGGATGAAAATATATTAAAATAAGGGATAGTTAACAAGGAGCAATGCTTACACTATTTAATATGAAATCAAATAAAAAAGAAAGTTAACACTACCCTTGGAGTACATGTATCACCATCCTTTCTAACAACTCAAGCTAGAAAATGAACCAAAATGCATATTATTCACACATATCTCAGCTTTAAGATTCTAAACAAATCTATGAGTCAACTAGAAATAGTATGTGCAAGGAGGGTATGACTAATACAATATTCATGTAAAAAAGAACAAATGGTCTGGTAGCACTTTGTAGACTAACAAAATGTATAGATATTATCATGAGCTTTCATGGGCACAGCCCACTTCTTCAGATAATCAGTCATCTGATGACTCCAGTCATCTGAAGAAGTGGGCTGTGCCCATGAAAGCTCATGATACCATCTATATGTTTTGTTAGTCTGTACAGGATAAACTTAAAAAACAACAAATGTTCTGGTAGCACTTTATAGACTAACTCGGCTACCCCCGGCAGCTTCTGAACAATATTTACTGACACTAGAAAGGAGAGTAAAATGCATTCACTAAGACGTATATGATTTCTCTGGGGAATGTTTAGGATCCATCCTGTAAAAACATAAAAGTCCTCTTGCTTTGAAACTTTCACCTTGTGTGTGTCACCAACTCAGAGGCTCAGAGGGGTAGGTGTGCTAGTCTATAACTAAAAAAACTTTAAAAACAACACACGATCTTGCAGCACCTTAGAGACTAACAAAACTCAAAGGCTGTGTCTACACTGCATCCCTTTTCCAGAAAAGGGATGCAGATGAAACAAATCGGAATTGCAAATGAAGCGGGGGATTTAAATATCCCCCGCTTCATTTGTATAAACACGGCTGCCGCTTTTTTCCGGCTCGGGGCTTTGCCGGAGAAAAGCGCCAGTCTAGACGGGATCTTTCGGAAAATAAAGCCTTTTCCTAAAGATCCCTTATTCCTCTTAAAATCAAATTGACACATAGCTTCAGGGTTTGTAGGCAGGCACATGTTTTAAAGAACTTGCAAATAAGGTTTCATCTTGCAAAACAACTAGCCCCACAACCTAGTACTTGCTACGTCTGACTCATAAGAGCCAAAACCCTACCACATAGCAAAGATCTGCCCTTAATGCAATACAGTATACCGTGTATTAATTAGTAACACGGGATTTTAAAAAAATCATTACGATCAGAGTTTTAGATATCCGCAACACTCTTTAAAAAGTTCTGTTAAAATAATCTTACCTTAAGCTATTAACACCTATGTGAACTTTGTTTGAAATGTAATCATGAAAATGTCCTCCTAGCACCGCCCCCCCATGCAGCCTGCTTCGCCCCCACTCCAACTCAGCCAGACAGAGAGGACTGCAGCAAGTGAGTTAGGGGATGCCCCAAACAAACTGCTCTCTGCCTCCACCTCACTGCACAGATGCCAGCAACCACCCACCCCATTTCTCTCACCAGCCTCTTATTTTCCCCTTTCCAGGAGGCTAGAGAGTGCTTAGTTTCTGCCTCTCTCTTCTCGTAAAGACAGGACTTTCCAAACTTCCCTCCCTTCTGACTCCCCCTCAGCCAATTACTCCCTCCCTCCTTCCATCCCCCCAGCCACTTATTCTCTCCTTTACTTACTTCTTTACTTGCTCAGTTTCAAGCAGGCAGCAGTTCTGTTTAGCTGCTTGCTTAGAGGGATGTCCTGCCCCCCGCCAGTCACCGAGTTCCCTGCCTGCTCAGGAGCTTGAATCTTTGAGCATAGCTCAGAAAAAAGCTGCACAGCCACGCAGGCATGCATCTTATAGGGAACTTAGGTCTTGGGGAAAGAAAGGAGACAGGGATGTGGAGCTTCCTGCTTGTTTTCCTCCACAACCACCTATTTCTTCATGGCTGACTGTAGGTTCTTGATTGGGGGGGGGTCTCTCCGGCGTAAGGATATGAGGCCCCTCAACCACTTCCACTGTTGGAAATATGAGAGATGAAATAATCTCTGGATTCTCTTTTCCATCCAGCAGGTGCCGGGATCCTGAGCCGGGGTGAGGAGAAGCCTCACAACCAAGGGCCTGAAAACCTTCAGCCCCCCAGTATATCACAGCAGGATTCAGGGGGGAGCATTAATCACAGACCAGAGCAGAGAGGATCCTACAAGAGGCAGAAGAGGAGCTCAGCTGGAAAGGAGCCAGATCTACCAGCGGAATGTGAAAGCGGATTAAGGAGGCTCACCCAGCCTTCTGCACTGGCGAGACCACAGGGCTCAGGAGACCTTCACCACCAGAGCAGCGTTCACAGGCCAGAGAAGCCCCATAAATGTCGAGATTGTGGGGAAAGGTTCTGGGAGAAGCAGGCACTCACAGCCCATGGGAGAGTCCATGAGAAGGAGAGACCCTATCCCTGTCCTGAATGTGGGAAAAGCTTCAACAGATTGACCCATCTCAAAACCCACCAGAGAACCCACACGGGAGAGAAACCCTATTTCTGTGCTGAATGTGGGAAGAACTTTGGCCACCTCTCCACACTCATTACACACCAGCGGCTGCACACAGGGGAGAGACCCTACTCCTGCGACGAGTGCGGGAAAACCTTCACCAACCCCTCAGACCTCAACAAGCACCAGCGCTCCCACACCGGCGAGCGGCCTTACTCCTGCGCCGAGTGTGGGAAGCGCTTCAGCCAGCTCTCCAACCTGACGATGCACCAGAGGACTCACACGCAGGAGAAGCCCTACCCCTGTGCCGAGTGTGGGAAGAGCTTCAAGTACCTGGCGTACCTCGCCATTCATGAGCGCTCCCACACCGGGGAACGGCCCTTCCCCTGCACCAAGTGCGGGAAGAGCTTTAGTAACAAATCCTCTCTGGCCCGGCACCTGAGAATCCACGCCCGAGCCATGGCCATGGACAAGTGAGACCCTCCCGGACAAGGGCTCCTTTCCAGTTGTGTGTATGTATCATGTGAAGCAGGGCCTGCAAAAAACTAGCATCCTGCCCTCCTCTCCCACTTCAGAACCACCCCCCTTCAGACACTGGGTGTCATGTATTGGGGCTACTTCTTTGAGTGGACTCCCTATCGGCGCTCCACTTTAGTTGATGGAGTGCATCTACTAATTGGAGAATTTTCAGAGCAGTAACTGGTTGGGCCACACACGTGCTTGTCCCCAAATTGCGCCTGTAGAGGCAGCTAACTAGTTCTGTGGTGCCCCCGCACCCTGCAGGTCCTGCTCAACCGCCCTTGGTCAAGTCGGAGCTCCAGCCATGCGCCTGCTACCCGTACCTCAATTTAGTTGTGTTAGATTAGTTAAGGAATTAGTCTAGTTAGGTCAATTGGTTATGAACCTTTTAATTCCTTTTCTCCCTCTTTATCCCCTTAAGGGACGTTATTTTCCTCAGAATGTCAAGGTTGTCTGGCTGATAAATGTTGCCTCTCTCGTTGCCAGGCAATTCCGCTTTCTGACAGACACTCACACTGTATCCTGTGCCTGGGGGAAACTCGTGTTCCCTGAAAGTGCCCAGATTGCCATAATCTAAGACTTGGAGTAGGAAAGCCAGGAGTCTGATGGAGAAGACCTTCATCCCGCTTCACACCTGGCTTGAAAACTTCTCCAGTTGCCCTGTCACCATAGGTAGCTTCCAACAGACACACATACCCCTTCATCCTGAAAGGAAGGGACCTGTCTCCAAAATGATGTGGGATGAGGAGAGCTAGCACTGCCCCTCCCAGGGCCACGTCAAGGAAGAAATGTTCCCAGATTCTGTCCACCACATCGGTTCTGACTACACCACAGCATGGTACCTTTGAGTCAGCAGGGACCTTCAGAGCCAACAGTACTAAGCATGTAGACTCTGAGGGTATGTCTAGACTACAGGGTTTTGTGGACAGAAGGTTTTTCGACAGATACTGTTGACAAAGAGCGTCTAGATGACATCCAGTTCTGTCGACAAAGCAAGCCGCTTTGTCGACATAACAGTGTGGACGCAAAGGACAGTGTAGATGCAATAATGCCTTCTATCGACAGAACTCTGTCAATAAAAGGCGTTATTCCTCGTAGAATGAGGTTTACATACGTGGACAAAACTGCTGAGTGGATGCAGGTATAGTTTTGTCAACAAAAGTCCACTTTTGTCGACAAAACCCTGTAGTCTAGACACACCCTGAGAGCAGACAGAAGACCCCTTCTTCCACCTCAGCCTATTACTGATACATACAAAATGGCTGGTTGGACCACTTAGAATCATAGAGCTGGAAGAGACCTCAGAAGGCCATCAAGTCCAGCCCCCTGCTCTAGGCAGGACCAATCCCAACTAAATCAACCCAGCCAGGGCTTTGTCAACTTCTCACACATTCATTCACTGCTAGGTCATTGATCGGGTCTCAGCCTCTACCACCCGGCTGGGACACATGGTCTGACATTCCAGTCAGCTTCCAAAGCCTCCCTCTTTCTTTTGAGGGGCATTGCTCTACGGTCATCTGAAGTGGAGCCCTTACAGGCCAGGGATTCCACTGGAAGACGAGAGGGTTACTTACCTGAGGCTTTTTGAGACGTGAGTCCCTGTGGGTTTTCCTCCACCCTTCCTCCTTCCCCTCTACTTTGGAGTTCTAGTTTATTCCTTTGCAGTAGAGAAGGAAATGGGGGGAGGGGGGTTGCATAGCGCTAGTTAACTGCCACTACTGGCACAAGATGGGGGCAGGTACTGCTGTCAAAATTCTCTGACTAGAGGCACAGTCCGCATGGTCACCTAAAGAGTAGCTAGGACCCAAGTCTGCTGTACTGACACCCTGCCTCCTGCTCATCCAGTTGGCTCTGCCAAGAGCATTTATGGTCTCTATGTGCGTTTCTGTATTTCACCCATTGGCCCCCTCCCTGGAGTCCTGTTAACTCTCTCTGGTGACTGCTCTGTCTCTCCAGTGCATTGTGTTGTCCAGATTGAGGCTGCTCCTTGGCTCAGCTGCTCTTCAGCACAACCACGGGTTCAGTTTTACTGGTGTGAGACTCTTCCCTTCCTCATGGGCTCCCCTTCTGAATGGCTGGTGACCTGAACAGCGCTCCTTGTCAATCCATCACTGTTCTGCAGGCTTAATTAGCTCCCTGGTCCTTTGACTCCGTTACACCCACTCGATTGGTTTGGCTTTTGTATAGCTGCCTGTCTTCACTGTTGTCCCCCTTGCTCCTGGCTCTGTTGAATCCCAGCTCCCTGTAATGCTGTTTTATCAGTCTCCCTGGGTGTTTCTGGCTGAGCACGGGGAGAAGGAGGGGAAAGTGGGATCTGCGAGGTGATGGCAGGAGTCCAGCCCTCACTGACAGGTGACAACTGACAGAAGAAGTGGCTCAGAGAAGAGTTGCAGGCTTCAGCTGAGAAATTTCAGGGCTCTGCGACCTGCCCCTTCCTGGAGGCACATTTTATTCAGTACCAGTCTCTCAGGATCACTGCATCTCTGTGCTTCCTCTCTGGACACTTGCCTGAGAATGCTGGGTAATCCCAGGTGTTCTATTTCAAGAGTCTTGCAGATCTCTTCCAACCCTGCTGACTGAGTACGCCTCCTGGGTTTGAAGAGCCACGAAGCCCAACAAACACCACATACATAACAATAGTGTTCAGTAACCTACTGCAGGAGGGAAAGCCTAACCAGATACCAGCCTAGCTGTGCTGCTTTTCCTGATTACAATCTAGCCCCCTCTGTGCTCTTGCTTTCTGTCTTTTAGGGTGTGTCTACACAGCAGGGCCTAACTCGAAATAAGTGATGCAAATTGAGCTATATCAATTGCGTAGCTTATTTCGAAATAGCTTATTTCAAAATTGGGAACATCTACAGAGCACTTATTTGGAAATAGAGCACTCTTCCTCCAATTTCCCTTACTCCTCATACCATGAGGGTTACAGGAGTCAGAGTAAGAAGTCCTCCAGCTTGACAGTATTTCAACATGTTGAAATAACTGCCTGCTGTGTAGATGCGGACTAAGTTATTTTGAAATAATGCTGCTGTGTAGACATACTTTTAGGGAGCTACCCAACAACCTTCACATTCAAAGCCCCAATCCCCGAGCTCCAGATGAGCTATCTAGAGGCAGCAGTCCTCCAGGAGTCCCGGCCTCAGTGTCTCTGAGCACCCAGTGGTACATGTTTTTCATCTCACCACACACTCATCACAGAGTTTCACTTAACAGGTAACCCACAACACCAGCTCGTATCACACAATTTCATGTTAACACAACCCCTTCTCCATGGCCGCAATGGAAACAGGGAGGATAGGAAGGTCGAAGTGCAATGCCCCAAAGATATCCCAGTTTGACACTGAACATGGAAAGGTGCACGGCCTGGGTCCTATATTCTCCTCGCAAGAGCTCCAAAGCCCCTGTAAGAAGAGGACGCTGAGGGCTTGTCTTCACTATGTGGAAGATTGCCGCTGCTGTGGTCGATCTTCAAGAGTCTGATTTAGTGGGTCTAGTAAAGACCCGCTAAATCAAGCTCAGAGGGCACCCCACCCCACCCCCCGTTGGTGCGCACCTACTTCTGCTCCTCGCAAGGAATAAGGGAAGTCGAGGGGAGGATTTGTTCCTGTTGATCTCCCATGGTAGAGACAGCACAGAAACTTGAATTAAGATAGGTTGTTGACATATGTTAATGTAGCAGGAGTTTGTATCTTAATTCGACCTTCCCCTGTAGTGTAGATCTGGACTGAGGCTATTACTTCTATGACACCTCCCAAAAAAAGGATATGTATTTGCTCTCCTATTGTACATACACAGTGGGCTACATCTAGACTACATCCCTTTTTCATAAAAAGAATGTAAATGAGACATATGGCAATTGCTAATGAAGTGGGGATTTAAATCTCCCGCGCTTCATTAGCATAAAAATGGCTGTCACTTTTTTCCTCTTGAAATAAGGGATCTTTCGGAAAAGGCTTTATTTTCCGCAAGATCAGCGTCTAGACTGGTGCTTTTTTCCGACAAAGCTCTGTGTGGAAAAAAAGCGGCAGCCATTTTTATGCTAATGAAGCATGGGAGATTTAAATCCCCGCTTCATTAGCAATTGCGATACGTCTAACTTACATCCCTTTTACGAAAAAGGCATGTATTCTAGACGTAGCCAGTGGAGTTTTATTGTGAGTTAAGCCAGATGAAGTCAACTGTAGGCAGGAGGCATATTTCTGACTTTATCTGGCTGTCTCATGAACACTGTCTGCATCTTGTCTCCACGTAGGATTTTACAACATGACAATCATCCCCAATTGTTATCTCACTGTTGAAAAAGAAATAAAAGGGCACCACTAACATACGCAGTAAGCAGAGGGCAAACCCTAGGAGTCAGCCATGATAGGAAGGAGGCATGCAGATAGATCTCATTCTCCCCGGTAAGGCATGTAAAATTCACGCTGAAAGGAAAAATAAGTGACTCGAGACATTCTGGCAAGAATGTGGTGTTTGAGGACAGTTCTAGGCTGGTTCTCAGATAGACCCTGGAGAGACTTTATTTTAGAAATGTGCACCTAGCTGGTAGTCCATGAGTCCTAAATGGTAAAAGCGAGGCATACTGCTTCCTCTTATCCTAATTTAAAGTAAGGTCAGGGTTTGGTTGTGCCAGGAAAACAGGAAATCTCTGGAATGGGACTGTTTTCGATAACATGGAAGTGCTGCTCAGAGGAGAGCGATATGCAGAGTGACCTCTGGAGCCAGTAAGCACAGGGAAGAGCTATCCTCCAGCATGACCGTGGGGGCCAGCCACACACCTGAGAGTGGGCAGCTGGAACACACCATCTTGCCTGGCACCAGACCACATAAGTGGACCCCCTACCCCCAGTGCTGGGATGGAGGAGAGAGAAAAGGCCCCTGCCTACCAGGAGTTTGGGCACAGAGAAAAGGCCCCTGATGCCCAGAGGTTCTGGGGAAACAATGGAACATTAATCTCCCCACATGCTGAGAAGCAGAGCAGCACAGCAAAACGGGAAAACTTTGGGACCCCAGGAACAAGAGGCATTGTCTGCTTTAGTGTCATTATGGGCCTTGGCACTTGTAGTGCCCAAACTTGAGACAGGGCGAGGTAGACCTTGGTCTTGTCTGGCTTCAGGTGTGGGACAGAAAAAAACCTTGGCGCTTTGCTGGACATGGGGGAGGGTTTAGGTGGGATGGGAGGGAAACCCTGTAACAGCAACATCGGAAAGAGAAAAACGATGTGCAGGTTGCTCTGCTAGAGCTAGAAATGAGACATTGGGCCAGTGAGAGCTTCCAGGGGCAGGAGGGATCCACTCGAGAAGCCCCCATGCAAACAGCAGTGGCAGGGTCGACCTGAACACACTCACAGAAAAGAGGCAGGTCAGATACTTTGAGACTCTGATTTACGCTGTGGGAGACTTGGGTAGGAAGGGGTCAGATCAGCCCCCAAAGATGTAGGGCCTACCATTGGGGCCTGGACTGGAACCCGCTGGAGATAGCCGGCTGGTGCTCCCCCACCCACTTCAGGAACAGTCAGTCTTCTTAGGGGATAACCCAGCTTGAGAAGACCCTGGTTGTTCAAGAGCTTGGACCCTCGAAGTCCTTGTGCTAAAGTGAAGGGTTGGAAAACCCTTGAAAGGGCATTGACGGACAGGAATGGTTTGCAAATGGGAGGTGGCATGCTACACCCTGCCTGCTCAGTCCGTGGCACTGTGGGTGGAAGTTTATCTTGTCCAATGCAAAGACACTTTAGAATGAGACTGAAAGATCAGGGGTGGTGGCTGGGGAACCTGAGGCTCGGGGCCAGATGCAGCCCCCAGTTTGCTTGGATCCAGCCCCCGAGGCTCAGGGGCCCCCCTGGCACTGGGGAGCCCACAGTGGTGCTTCAGCCCCCTGCTGTCCCACCGTGGGGCTGGGACATACAAAATCTACAAGCCTGGTCCCCCTAAGATAGTGTGCAAGGGACATGTGGGCAGAGTCTTTCTCCTCGGTCAATGAGGATTTTTTGTGTTTTCGGGGGAGGGGGGGCGGGTGATGAGTGGTTTTGGTTTTTGCTTCTCACTTGTGTGCAGCCCTTGCAATGACTCTGGATCCAAAAAAAGTTCCCCACCCCTGGAAGATCATCTTGTTTTTTCCTTCCCAAATACAGAAATGTTTATTGGACACTTCTGCCTTTCCTGCTTTATTAGTGACACTTCTACCATTTCCATCTGGGGATGGACCAATACCACTGTCAGGACTATTTTTGTCCCTAGTATACATTTTAAAACCTCCTTCTTATTGTCTTTAACTCTGCTGGCCATACATTTCTCCCTCCCCCCTTTTTTAAACAATGTCTAGCTTCTGATTTATATTCATTATTAACTTCCTTCTTCACTTTGATTAGACAATGTTATTTATAGCTGCCTTCACTTCCCCTCTAACCCATGCCAGGTTTTTAAATAATATGGCCTTCTTCCTTGACTGTGGCTTTTTCAGGCATCCAGTAAAGTTGCAATCAAGTTACAGTGGGGAAGGCCAAGGTTGGATATTAGGAAAAACTTTCCCTAGGCAGGTGGTGAAGTACTGGAATGGATTCCTCAGGGAGGTGGTGGAATCTCCATTCCTAGAGGTTTTAAAGTCCCATTTCAGCTTTGAGAAACTGGCTCTTTTAAAGCATCACATATCTATTTGATCTGGCCTGGACTGTAGTCTATAGACCCATTACAACTGTGATCATTCTAGGACACTTGTATCTAAGCTACCATTAACTAATAATTCTGTGAGCAGTTCCCTTTTATCTGTCAAGATGGGGTCTAATATATAATTTCCCTAAGTTGGAAGCAATCATTTTTGAGTTAGGAAATTGTCAGTTATGGCGTTCAGAAATTCCAGGAATGTTTTAGTCCTGGCCGCATCAGACTCCCAGCTGTATGTTTCTCAAATTAAAGCCCCCACCGCGTGAGCACAGATTTTTCTCTCTACACAGGGTAAAGTGGTGTCAGCTGGTGGCTCTGAGTCCCAGCCTGGGCTATTCAGGCAGCCCCATCCAGTTCTATTTGTAGCCTTTTCCTCAGGGCTCTGTTTATCCTTCAATGTACAAACAAAAATGAAACGTGGACAAATAACACACACAATGGTTTGTTCTGGGCTGAGGCTCAGCAGCCACCTGGTCTCCAGTAGCCAAGGGGACAGGACCTCCAGTTCAGGGGGACCCATAGGGACTCACTGCTCTCAGACCCCTCAGATACTGCCCCAGGGGACCACACATTCCCAGCTCTCTCCTGGGACTTGCCCATTTCTAGCCTCCAGCTAGAAATCAGACCCAACCCTGAGGTGCTATGCAGCTAAGATGATTCCCAGCATCACCTGTCCTGCTCAGCATCCCTCCAAAACACACCCAGCTGCTCCCTTTCCTCCTGTACCTTAGCCAGCATTCCCTGTAAGCCGAGTGCTTGGCTGGCCACTCAGAAGAGAGTCAGAGCACCCATAGCCAGCAGCATGTTTTTACTGGTGGTGCACATCTACACATTTTGGTGCACATAACAAAATGTATTCCACATATGAAAAATTAGAGGGAACATTGACCCTAGTGTGACTAGAGGGGCTATAGCACCTGGTGTCGCTGAAATAGCCCTTTTTGGGGCTGCATCTTGACCTGGTGGAGGCTAATCCAGAATCACCTGGGAGGCACTGAGCTGGGGGGGTAACCCCAGCAGGATCTTTTGCTGCCCGCTCAGATTTCTTCCCTGGTCCTGGTTCCACCGGCTCTTGTGTCTCTATTTTCTCATCACCTGCTGCAGCAAAGCCTGGACTTGGAGGTGGAGGGATTGGTGGTGTCAGGGACATTAGCCCAGACGGCTCAGTTCGTAATCTGACCACAGAGACAGGCAACACCAGCAAAGTCCAATCACAAGCTCTTTATTGATGAGTGCACACAACAATAGAGAACAGCCCGTCTCCAAAGAGAACCAGCTGCGATTTTAGTAACAGGTAGGCTTATAAAGACAGTTCAGTCGCATCATAAGCTCTTCACCCAAGCAACTCACCCCCCCTTTCTAAAACTTTTAGTATCTATGCATATCTTGGCCAACCATACATTGTGGCCAGAAGCACTTCATAATGCATCAGCTACTTTCCTATCAATCACGAAAGGCAGGTACCAGGAACGAGGAGACAAGGGATTTGAGCACAAACAAAGGGCAAAAATAGGGAGGTAAGATCAGCGAAGGGGAACAGAAACAGGGAGTTACTGACCAGTTCCCAAAGCAAGCTGTTCTACTTTCAGTAGGTACAAATATGTAATTTATCACTTATCTTACTTCTATAACCTAAGCCAGCATGGAGGGTGCGCCTCTGTTTGAACCACATTCCTGGTTCTGGCCAAGAATACTCAGAAATTAGCCTTCATTAACTTTTCTCTGCATAATGTTGACCAGGCCTTGTTTTTCTGGGCCCAACAGTGGCCTGTCCTGCAGCCGCTCCCTGTTTTGGAGGGGGGGGCATAGAACCAACTAAAACCCCACCTTTTACTCTGCTTGCTAGGGCACCATCCCATGAGCATCCGAGATCCTTTGCTTCTGAATAATCAGTGAGTGACTGGAATACACACTCTCCTTTGGGCATGGAGCACCCCATCCCTTTGCCCGCTCCAGCCTTCCTCTCTGGGCTGTACCCACACCCGTCAGCCCCAAGAAGACCAACTAGACCGAGCCATTAGAACGGCCAGACCAAAGGTCCATCTAGCCCAGTGTCCTGTTAGCGGACAGTGGCCAGTGCCAGGTGCTCCACAGGGAGCGAGCAGAACAGGGAATCACCGTGTGATTCTTGACGGACCTGCCCTCCATGGAGTCACCTGGTTCTTTTGGGAACCCTGGCAAAGCCCTCGCCCCTGCTTGCTAGCCGGCCCCTGGCATCAGGCGATGAAGGCCGGGGACCAGCCTCGCACTCCCGGTTTCACTCTGCCCGGCCTCAGACTAAGCCCCCCCCGGGACAGATCCCGGGGCTGGGGACCGGATTTGTGATTCTTGACGGACCTGCCCTCCATGGAGTCACCTGGTTCTTTTGGGAACCCTGGCAAAGCCCTCGCCCCTGCTTGCTAGCCGGCCCCTGGCATCAGGCGATGAAGGCCGGGGACCAGCCTCGCACTCCCGGTTTCACTCTGCCCGGCCTCAGACTAAGCCCCCCCCGGGACAGATCCCGGGGCTGGGGACCGGATTAAGGGTCTGTGCTGGGGGGCAGGGAGCTGGAGTGAAGGGCCTGCTGGAGGGAGGCCAGAGAGGGGGGGGTCTCCCATGCTGGGAGCTGACGTGACAGTTAATTGCAGTTCTCACAAGCTTATCCCGTAAAACCCCAGCTCTGCCCCTGCCCTGGTTAACAGGAGCCAAGTGGTAAGTTTCCAGCCCTCCAGGCAGCAGAGAAAAGCTGGGAAACCTGAATCTCACAAGGTCCAAAACAGAACCCAGCACTGAGGCAGGAGGACAGGGCTATACGCCTGCTTTGTGACCCCGTGCTTGGTAGCACTGGCTTGGGGGCGCTTATCCCGTAAAACCCCAGCTCTGCCCCTGCCCTGGTTAACAGGAGCCAAGTGGTAAGTTTCCAGCCCTCCAGGCAGCAGAGAAAAGCTGGGAAACCTGAATCTCACAAGGTCCAAAACAGAACCCAGCACTGAGGCAGGAGGACAGGGCTATACGCCTGCTTTGTGACCCCGTGCTTGGTAGCACTGGCTTGGGGGCCAATCGGCTGAAGGGGAGCCGGGCTTACAGCTCAGTGGCTGGGTGGGTGAATCAGGTCGGGGTGTTTCTTTTCCCTTCCGCTTCCTGGGGCCCTCCC